TGGTTAGATGGTAGGGGCGCCTGGGTGGCTCAGTCGTTGAGCGTCTGCCTTTGGCTCAGGTCATGATCCCAGGGTCCTGGGATCGAGCCCCGCATCGGGCTCCTTGCTTGGCGGGAAGCCTGCGTCTCCCTCTCCCACTCCCCCTGCTTGTGTTCCCTCTCTCGCTGTGTCTCTCTCTGTCAAATAAATAAATAGAATCTTAAAAAAGAAAATAAAATGGTTAAGATGGTAAATTTTGATATGTGCTTTTTACAGAAGTTTTATTGGGGTTTCAAGAGAGCAGAGGTAATCGTGTGTACTCAATCTGATGTCTTTAATAGGATCTTGATGCTCTCTTTTTTTTTGGTTTGTTTTCTTTTGTTTTTTTCTGTGTTTTGCTTATCTGTTTTACTTTTTTCCACCTTTCTTTGGTTTAGGTGAATCCTGTGGGATTTTTAGAATTACATTTTGATTTGTCTATATTTTAGAGTGCTGTTCTTATAAGGCCACCAGTCCTTTTAGGGTTCACCCCAATCCAGTTTTACCTTCTCTTGATTACATTGCAAAGACCCTGTTTCCAAGTAAGGTAACATTCACTGGTTCCAGGTAAACATGAATTTTGGGAGGACATTATTAAACCTAGTATAGTCTTCTTTTTTAAAGATTTATTTATTTATATATTTGAGGGAGAGACAGAGAGAGAACACACAAGCTTGGGGTAGGGGCAGAGGGAGAGAATCTCAAGCAGACTCACCACTGAGCCTGGAGCCTGACACAGGGCTTCATCTCTTGACCCTGCGATCATGACCTGTGCTGAAACCAAGAGTCGGACACTTGACTGACTGAATCACCCAGGTACCCCTAGTCTTTTTTTTTTTTTTATGGTTTTGTTTTTAAGTAATCTCTGCACCCAGTGTGGGGCTCAAACTCACAACTCCGAGATCAAGAGTCACATGCTCCACTGACTGAGCCAGCCAGGCACCCCTAAACCTAGTATAGTCTTGATAGGACAGGTCCTACTTTGTTCTTCTTCACCGTTGTCTTAGATTTTCTGGGACTTTGCCCTTCCATATTCATTTTAGAGATAGTTTGGTGAAAAGCTATTGGGGGGCGCCTGGGTGGCTCAGTCGTTAAGCATTGCCTTTGGCTCAGGTCATGATCCCGGGGTCCTGGGATCGAGCCCCGCATCAGGCCCCCTGCTCAGCGGGAAGTCTGCTTCTCCCTCTGCCTCTGCCTGCCTGCCGCTCCCCCTGCTTGTGCTCTCTCTCACTATCTCTCTCTGTGTGTCAAATAAATAAATAAATAAATCTTAAAAAAAAAGATTCTCTAAAAAGTATTGCAATGTTGATTGAAATAGCATTGGACTTCTAGATTAATTTGGAGGGCATCATTATCTACATAATACTGAGTCTTCCTATCCATGAATGTGATAAATCCTAATTTATATAATTTTCTTTAATGTGTTTCAACATAGTTTTGTAATTTTCTGTATAAAAACATTTCATATTCAATCGCTATCATAAGCGATATCTTAAAGATCATGTTTTTAAATTGTCACTAATGTATAAGAATGCATGGCTTAAAATGTTTAATATCCAGCAACTTCTCTGAACTCTTACTAATTTAAAAAAATTGTTCTGTAAAGTCTCTTGGATTGTTTGAATTTTTATGTTTTTACCATTTCTCTCTTTTGGCTCTGGTTCTTTTGCTATCTATTTCACATTGTAAATTACTAAAAGACAGAAACCTTTCTTCAATATGCTTTGGAGAGTAAATGGACAGTGAGTAGTATATTGAAATATATGAAAGGAGATTCTTAGGTGGTGTTTAGGAAAAGAAAACTTTTGATATCTTGCACAGTGTTAGTGCTGATAAAGGGAAAAACACATGTAGAGAGAATGGAAAAGGGCTGAATTAAAAGATCTAGGATATATAACAGAAGAGTAATTATGCCTTTGTCAGGATGCGGCTACTAGTAAACAACATTTAAGTCCAGAGTTAAGAGTTTATATTTTATGTGGAAGGTGGTTGATAGAACTATATTGTTAGGACACTCATGATTTTTATTTTAAAGGTCAATGCAATTATTTAGTGTGTTTTTTTATTATTAATTTTATTATGTTATGTTAGTCACCATACATCATTAGTTTTTGATGTAGTGTTCCATGGTTCATTGTTTGTGTATAACACCCAGTGCTCCATTCAATACGTGCCCTCCTTAATACCCATCACCTGGCTAACCCATTCTCCCACCTCCCATTTAGTGTGTTTTTGATGGGCTTAAGGTTTAGGTAGCGGCCCTGAAAATCTAGAGCAGGAAATCTTATAATGAGAGGAAATGATCGGATAAAGACTAGAGAAGAGCTAACATAATGTTATTTACTTAAAAGGAATTAATGAATTAAATAAACCAACTCTCTTTTTTTCTGAGACATCCTTTCTGTATGCCAAAACTGGATTAGAAATTACTGTAAGGTGTTAACATGAAGGCAGAAGGTAATGCTGTTCAGAGACAGAGAAATAAAGTGTTTGGAAAATTGTGTCTTAGGGCACCAGGAGAAATAACTAATGACCTATAGTTGATTATTATTGAGATATCCGAGGTTTAAAGAAAGCTGAGTCAGGGAGGGATTGGAACGTAAATGTCTTAAAGCCATTAAGGAAGAAAGCCAGGCAATTATCATTCAATTCTTGCTACATTGTTAAAATTGAACAAAATGTAAAAATATATGATCTATAAATGTGTAAAAGACAACAAAAGCAGAAAGAAAAATAGTTCAGAACTTGGGACTGGAAAAATAATTCAAGGTTTGTTTTTTCTGAGTTTTAAAATCCTAATATACAAAGTAATTTGCAGGAGAGATGACCTTATCTAGTTAATTAAAAATACAAGGCCTCCGATTGAACGTGAAAGTTAGTGATGAAACTCATTTTTAGCAGCAATATCTGAGTTTTAAAAATCATCCATATAATCTCATGTTGGCATTGTAAAGTGAGTATTCAGTTGGAGCTGTCTTTCTGGGCTGGTAGATTTAGCAGTGGATGGAGGTTCTAGAGATTCCATAGGTTCTGGAGCTTCCATAAGTCCCTTTCTGTATGACCAGTATAACAACAGACTTACAGATCTGCCTTCTTTGTATTGTTTTTTGCCATTGTGTATTGCTTGCAAAATGAGAGGTTAGCACCCCATGGAAGGCTGGGAAGATATTTTTATTTTTTATTTTTTGTTTTTGTTAAGATTTTATTTATTTGAGATCAAGCGAGAGAGAGATGGGAAGATAGCACAAGGTGGGGGGGGGGGGGGGCAGAGGGAGAGGGAGAAGCAGGCTCTCCACTGAGCAGGGAGCCCGACTCAATCCCAGTAGCCCAGGGTCATGACCTGAGCTGAAGGCAGAAGTTTAACCAACTGAACCACCCAGGTGCCCTGGGAAGATATTTTTAAAGAGATATTTTTATGAATCTTAGTACTTTATACCCTGTAGAAATGTGTCATGAGGGCAGGGATTTTTCTCTGTTTTGTTCACTGAGGTATGTGTAACGACTAAAATAGTGCCTGATAGATAGGAGATGCTTAGTAAATATTTATTATTGAATGTATAAATGATTGTGTGCATGGAACAGTACTGGTAGTTAAAAGATTTTTTTTTGTCATTACATTGAAAATACGCTGTGGTTCTCTTAAAAGATACTTTAGTATTTTATAGCTTTGTTGTTGGAAGTTTGTTATTATTTTGCATTCTTTTTTCCCTCTAGGAAGTAGCATTTAATGTAAGTACACTTGAAGATTTTGTGAGGGCAAAGACAAATCCTGGGGAAACTGAATAAAGACTTAATACACTTAGATGTTAGTCGAAAGTTTTATTTTCCATTTTCTTCTGTGCAAGTTAGTTACAGGCCTCTCTGCAGTGAGTGGATGTGAGCTGCATTATTACAGTATAGCTGTATAATTGGTGTGGCCCTGTGTGAACCTATGGGATCTGGGGCATGTAATGAGTTAAGCTTTTTCTGCTGAAATGTCAAGAATGCATTTAAATACTTCTGGATTCTTGCCAGACCCACATTACCAAGACTATTCTTTATTTTAGATTCAAATATACAGTAGGTCTGAAGTGCTCAGGCATGCATATTGAATTTCTTTCTGAATGTACTGTAATTCAAAAGGAAACTTTTTTTTGAAGGAAGACAGGTCTTTACACATTACTTATAAATAACTTGCCTCAGATCTTGGATTCTTAATTGAAGATCTGCTTCTGTAGTCTTACTCAGGTAAAACTTATAAAGGACTCTATTATATGGGTATAATCAGATTCTGGATAGATGGTGTCTGTAAATACTGAAGGGATATTTGGATAAGTTATTAGAATTTTAAAATTTGTCTCTTAAGCCATTTCCCAGTATTTTGACAGGTGACAATTATGTAAGATATGGCATTGATGCAGGGACTGAGATGCTGATAATCCATAAAAAGTATTTTCCTATGGCACCATTCACATACTTGTTCCTACTTTTATCTCAGTGGTAATTTATGTAAAGAAAATTTTTGTTGTTAAAGAGGGTTCATTAAACTATCCTAAATATGTCCTATGACTAGACAGTGTATTGGACACTTTTTAGAACTTTAGAATTTTTAAAAGTTGTCTTGATTTTGAAAAAAAAAATCCCCTTTTATGGTGATGTTTTTCTTTGACTATACTCACTGATCTAATGCCTCTTACTGGATCTCGCAACCTACAGAGGAGGTTGTCCTTTTGCTGGGCAATGGTTAGGTTTCCCATTTCCTGTTACAAAGTACCTTTCAAGTTCTAACAGTAATGTATTACTTTTCCATATTTAACTATTATCCCAAACTGAATATTTTGTAGCTCCTCTTTAGATAATTTGGGAGGTTTTAATAAGGAATAGTGGGTTATTTTGATGTACAGAATACTTTATGTCTTTAAGACTCTTGAACTGTTATCGATTTTTTAATGTTAAAAAAAATCATGACTCTGACCTTTTTTTTTTTTTTTTTAATATTGCAGACTAGATATCTTCACATTCTCTGTTACAACTTCGGAGTAGAAACCCACAAGCAGAATAAATATGAAGAAAGTTCTTTCTGGCTTAGGTAATACAAACAAAATTAGTGAATGTGAATTTAGGGATATCATCATACAGTTAAGTAAATACTTACTATGTGGTACTTTGTCAGTTTAAACATTCTCTGACTTCAAATGCCAATATGCTAAATTTATTTATTCCTTTAATATGTGTTGTTTATTCTTACATGTTGTCTAGGAAAATGTATTCTATTCTTTTTTTTTTTTAAAGATTTTATTTATTTATTTGACAGAGAGAGACAGCGAGAGAGGGAACACAAGCAGGGGGAGTGGGAGAGGGAGAAGCAGGCTTCCCACTGAGCAGGGAGCCCGATGTGGGGCTCGATCCCAGGACCCTGGGATGACCTGAGCCGAAGGCAGACGCTTAACGACTGAGCCACCCAGGCGCCCCATGTATTCTATTCTTAATAAAACACAAGACTATGTTCTTCTTTCATTCCTCCTTCATATCTCCATCAAGAATATGAATTTTTTGGGACGCCTGGGTGGCTCAGTTGGTTAAGCGTCTTGCCTTCAGCTCAGGTCATCATCCCAGGGTCCTGGGATTGAGTCCCTCATCTGGCTCCCTGCTCAGCGGGGAGCCTGCTTCTCCCTTTGCCTGCTGTTCTCCTTGCTTGTGCACGCTTGCTCTCTCTCTGAAAAATAAATAAAATAAAATCTTAAAAAAAAAAGAATATGAATTTTTCTTTTACTTTGTTACATATTGCTCTCTGCCAACCCCAGAGTATACGGGTGGATGGGTGAAGAGTAGGATCAGGATCAGCTAAAATTGTTATTATTAAATGACTCTGCTATTTTAATATCAATAAGTGTATATTTAGCACTTACTGTATGATCAGTATTATACTAATATTTGTACTATTGTGTTGAATCTGAAAGTATCAAGGGAATAATGTAAAAATGTAGCAACTATATGCAAGAACCCTGTCTTTCACTGAACACTTAGGCACAGCACAGGTTCTGACACATAGTAGATATTCAATAATTGCTAGTTAAATGAATTTATGTGAAAAATGTATTTTTCTGGAGATGTCACATAAGGTACTTTGAACATCAGGGGATTATGGAATAAAATATATCAAATCAATTCACTAAATGTTTCTCCATTGTGAGTATAGGGTTAGTTCTGGTTATTTGGAGATACTCTCAGGGTTAGTTTAACTGTTGTGAAAATTACATTTGCCATTAATGAAATAAATGCAAATATGGTCTTTGAGATTATAGTAATCACAGGTTTATATATCCCTAACAAAATATTTATGCAAATAACTTTTTTATGTAAAAGCCTTTTTTTTTTTAAAGATTTTAAAAAATTTATTTGCCAGAGAGAGAGCATAAGCAGGGGAAGCGGCACAGGGAGAGGCGGGCTCCCTGCTGAACAAGGGGCCTGATGTGGGGCTCAATCCCAGGACCCTGGGATCATGACCTGAGCTGAAGGGAGATGTTTAATAGACTGAGCCACCCAGGCGTCCCTGTAAAAGACTTTTTAGAGCCTAAAGATTGATCAAACTCTATGAAGAACTATGCCTAGCAGAACAGGCTTATAAAGTTATGAGTTATACTTGACTCAATTTAGAATGTTTCACACAAGTGGAATATACCTGAAGTTATTATAAAATTGCATTTTAATAAATTGAATTATTTCATATATAATCAAAGGAGCTGAGTAGTTTAGCACAGGTTTTACAACAGGTTTCGTTTAAATGAATCTTTTTGTAAAGTGAATGATAAGTGAGTTTTGTTACAGGATTTGGCAGTATTGGGGGGTACAAAGTTTGTGGCATCAACCTATCAAAAAACTAGTATGCCAAGAAGACAGGGATGAGGAGGACAAAAGAAATTAAAAAAAAAATACCCCCCCCCCCCAAAACATGCTGGTGCCATGGGTGGCTTCTGGAAGCTTAAAACTGTGGAGGTAAGCTTGAAGTTTATGCCAAGAATGAGGTGGAATGTTTTCTAGGAAATGGTCATAAGAATAGGCTGAGGCTTAAAGTGGCATATGTAGGCCATTTTCACATATGCCATGGGTTGTTGATGTCTTATCTGTCGTTACCATTTTTAGAACACCTTACAGAAGAAAAATTTGATGGTGACAGGATGATTGACATACATATCATCAGCTGGCTATATCAGATTTTTACTGTATGTTTAGTGGCTATATTTTTAGGAATATCATTTGATCCACAGTCAGATTTTCATCAAAATCTATATTGTAAATTTATAGAGCACCATTATATTTTGAGTCTTTTGTGTTCTTGTCATTAGAATGAGATTAGGGAAACCAGGAAGAACTTAAATTCTAGCTCTAGGGGCGCCTGGGTGGCTCAGTCGTTAAGCGCCTGCCTTTGGCTCAGGTCATGATCCCAGGGTCCTGGGATCGAGCCCCGCATCGGGCTCCCTGCTCGGCAGGAAGCCTGCTTCTCCCTCTCCCACTCCCCCTGCTTGTGTTCCCTCTCTAGCTGTCTCTCTCTCTCTCTGTCAAATAAATAAATAAAATCTAAAATAAATAAATAAATAAATAAATTCTAGCTCTAGTTATTATATATGATTTTAATCTCTGCCTGATTATATTTTCTACCTCTTTTGGGGATATAAAAATATCTTGGTGAAGTATTTTCAAATGCCCTGAAAAATTACATTTTAATGCGTTTTAAAAGAGACAAAAATAATTATCAATGTTGTTAACAGTAGGAATTTTAGCACAGTGGATAGTTTTTCTAGTATTAGACCAACTCAATCAAAATTTGAGTCCTCTATGACGTCAGGGTGAAACTGGTAATATTGTGATACCTACTTTTTAGAATTACTGTACAGCTTAAATATGTTGATGCATGTGTTGTAGAGTGTTCAATATCTTGCTTGGGAAACAGAAACTGGTCAGTAAATGGTAGCTGTTGCTGCTATTTCTTTTTTTTAAAGATTTTATTTATTTATTCATGAGAGACAGAGAGAGAGAGGCAGAGGGAGAAGCAGGCTCCCAAGGAGCAGGGAGCCCGATGCGGGACTCGATCCCAGGACCCTGAGATCATGACCTGAGCCGAAGGCAGACGCTTAACCATCTGAGCCACCCAGGCGCCCCTGTTGCTGCTATTTCTAGGTGATATGTTTGCTCTTTACTGTAAATGAACACTAATGTGGCAAGTCCACTAGTTTAGTTCTAAACTTTATCACAGTGAAATCAAACGTGGATTACTTGTTGACTTCCCAGGTAACTATATTATAAAGACAAATACCCACATTTTCTGTCATACTGCTTATCTTTGGAAGTTTTTCTTTGTGCTTTAATTATCCATGTATTAAGACTATTGGGAGCAGTTGGTGGTACTGTAGAAATGAATAGCTGCTAATTAAACATCCGTCTCTGTAAATTTTACACCAGAAGGAGGCAATGGAGAGTGTACTTTCTACAGGCTTAAGTCTTTTGTAAACAGTGAATATCTTAAGGTAGAGGTTATATGCAGTTTGAAAGTACCCGTTCAGGGGTGCCTGGGTGGCTCAGTTGGTTAAGCGACTGCCTTCGGCTCAGGTCATGATCCTGGTGGAGTCCCGGGATCAAGTCCTGCATCGGGCTCCCTGCTCGGCAGGGAGTCTGCTTCTCCCTCTGACCCTCCCTCCTCTCATGTGCTCTCTCTCATTCTCTCTCTCAAATAAATAAATAAAATCTTAAAAAAAAAAAAAAGGAAGTACCCGTTCAGTCTTAAAAGGAAAAACTCCAGTTTTACACAAATGATAACATATCAAAATTGCTATAGTATATTAGAATTTTGTTGAAATAGAAGCCTAGAACATAAAAGAGTGGTGGTGGGTATTGTTTATAAAGCTCTTTTCTGTCCCTCAGTTCTTGTTAACAGATCTCACTCAGTTCAGGACCTTTTTCAGTTTTTGTCTCCCCCTGCCTTTTCTTTTGCTAAGAAAAGTTCATGAACAGCTGCTGTTCTTGCTTTTTTCTACCACACTTTTTTGATCACGTCCCCTTATTAGAGATGCCATGGATTAAGAGAAGGCTGCTGTAATTATGAATGGAATTGGGAATCCTTTAGCTTACTTTACTGTAGGCATCAGGGTACCTGCCTCAATGTATTCAATGACAAATTTAGTTAGGACTCTGTTAAATATAAAATTTCAGACCTTTGAAATCAAATGCTAGTATTGGAAATATATTTAAGAGGTTTTTTTGTTTAATAAGACGCATTTTGGGGGGCACCTGTCTGGCTCAATTGGAAGAGCATGTGACTCTTGATCTCAGGGTCACGGGTTCAACCCCTACGTTGGGTGTAGAGATTACTAAAAAAAAGAAATAAACTTTGCTGCTCCTCCCCTTTTGTAATTCTTGCTATATTGAGCTCCTCTGTCTGCTCCTAGCAGAAGACAAGCATAAGTAGATGGGAAGAGATTAGTGATATAGAACTTTCTTTCTTCACAGTCTAGGGGATTTCAGTTGCTCTGGTGGCGTTTAAATTTAGTCTTTATCTTTTAACGTCCTAATAATTGGGACATATATTATGCTGAATTTGGCTTTTTATAAAAGATATACAGAAATTGCACGGTAACAAATTAGTATTCTAAAAGAAGCACTTGTAAACCAAACAAATACAGGTAAGTCTAACTCAAACGGCTTTGGGATTACATTGATTTACTGCAGAGATTTTGCAGATTTTTTTCTCCCTGGGAGGAAAACGCCTTAATCGCAAAACCTTAGTCATATCCTTAATCACGGATGATTTTTCTTTTATTTCTAGTAGTTCTAATTCAACTGTGTTACTTGGAGCTACTGACTGGTACACACTTGGGAGGCTCACTTTTTTCCTTTTGCTGTAAGAAGACCTATTTTGTAATTGTGGCAAATTAAATTTCGGAGAGAACAGTTAAAATGAAAGTGATGCAGTAAAAATGTTTAAAATTTCTTCGCTGATAAAAGAAGTTATATGTGCTAATTATGAAAATTTAAATATTACAAAAATATATAATGTGTTAAGTAAAAGTCCTTTGTAATCCCACATTCATAAAT